TATTCAGGATCATTACTGACTTCCTTCATGACTATGATGGTTATATTTGATTGGTTCTTGAGGATCAATCAACCAACCAGGTCAGGGGTTCGAATCCCGATCAACTTACTTCAACCTAAGCAATTGGATAATATCATCAGTCCTCACACTATAAGTGTGGCCCAGTATAGGGTAACAGACTATTAGTACTACTACGCAGTAACCAGTGCAACGTGTCTAACAATGACTGGAGTCTATCACATTCAACTTCTAATGCATGCGGTGTCATAAATCCAGTGGACCAACTGTCAGTCAGTCTATTTCCAACAAAGAACTTTGCACCAACTTGCAGCAGCTCGAGTCGCCATACTCCATGTAGCACACAAAGCAAGAAAAGAAAGTAAAAAGAAATGCAAAATAGAGACAGTAGACAGGGATATGAGACAAAAGGAATAGTAATAACGAAGAACAATATAGTTTTATTGGGTATTATAAGTCACAAGGAGTGGATGCATCTGCGCTAGCCACTGAGAACGACTTTGAGCCATATCAATAATTGTCTCCACCCTTCATAGGTTTTTACCATCCCGAGGACTCCAATCAGTCGTGAAGTCTACACCTTCCTACGTGACTGGCTGGTTTAAACTGACTGTTGTGGACTTCATTGACTGATGTCATGTTTCCAACCTGACCCTATTAGAGCTAACATTGCCTGTCGGTCGAGGGAGGCGATGGCCAAGCTAGGCATGTGTAACAAATGTCCTAACCATCCAACTCAGTCGATGTAACTTTACAGCCTCGTCGATTGATTTCCCCTCCCCCTACCCTTACCTAGCACTCGACTGAAGCCTAACCTCAGTATTGCTTCTTACCCTACTACACCACTTCATATCGAGTTGATTAAAGGCAATCGTAAAGAATCTCCACCACAGTGTGGAGCGTGACATAAACAAACGCCTATTAAGGTACTGTACTGAGAAGCACAAATCTGAACACCAATGAACTATAAACACATTCTGCATTTTATTTATTATTATTAAAATCATACAAAAAAAAGATGCTACATTAAACCAAATAGTAGCAAACTTCGGATTAGAAAATAATAATAATAATATTAATATTATTAAACACTGTATACGTGTGTTTGAAGAGAATATTAAGTGAGAATGTGAACAGCTAAAAGACAAGTACACTTCAAGACAAAACTACATACAAACAGACGTCAGTACACACACACACACGCGTAAACGCACGCACGTACGCACACACAAACACAAAGATATACAAATGCATTTGTACACATACAGAAATCTAAGATTTCTTCTTCTTCTTATACTACTAGAAATCCAATACATTTAGAATTCAATCAAAATAGATTTAGGTCTAATGTGGTGTATTGTGCAAAATGAGGGGGTGGAATGGGTGCGAGTGAGCATGTGAATGAGTGCGTGTGTGTGTGTGTTCACCTTAAAGACAAACAGACAGACAGAGAGATAGATAGATAGATAGAGATCTTTCTAGAAAAAGTATAAATACATTATTACCAGTATAAAATATTTTTGAGAATATTTTCATTCAATTAGAACAATTCCACCACCCCCACCTTTGTAGTCATCTGATGAGTCACTTGAATTCTTTCGACTGGAAGTAATATCACTCGCCTGTGAAATACATGACGAGGATTCTGGTTGTCTAGAGGCAACTGTCAATGAAGAAGTTGGTGTTACTGAACCAGAATATGGCACAGCACTTCTTAGTATTATAATATTATTGTGTCGTTTATCCGCATTACCTACTTCTTGTTGTTGTTGTTGTTGTGAAGATGATGGGGATATCGATGATGTTAGGGATTTTATTTTTTGTTGATAACCCCCGCCTCCGCCTACTAATCCTTCAAGTGCTACGGGAATAGGATATCCTGATGTAACAGATCCAGTTGCAGATGATGATCCTGGTGCTGAAGTGCAATAATGTCCATTGAAATTCATATGTTCAGCTAATAAACGTAAACTAGGATCTGTATGATTCAACAGCATTTCAATAAATTTGATAACATTTGCCTACATAGAAATTAGAAACAGCATAGCATAGAATAATTAATTATTAGGCGTACAGAAAATACAAGGGAGAAAATTTTCTATAGTTTGGTTTGTAAGGATTAGTTATGTTTTACGAGTTGGTCACGGACTGATATCAATTAGAGAACCATTGAAAACCAGGGAGTACTGGACAGCTGCTGTTTCATCCTAGTTTGGGAATCATCGGCAGTACGTCGTGACCAGTGAGGTCGAATTAGATGTCACGTGTGTGGATGGATGTCCTACCAACGACAATAGTTGGGGTCGCGTTAAAATCACGAATCGGTAGAAGTTAGAATTCATGAGCCATTGAATCGGGTCCCAGTGGCTGAATGGTATACGAGCTTGCCTTGTAACCGGAAGGTCCTGGGTTCGAAACCCACAGTGTGGGTGCGTACTGCTGATGATTCCCAAACTGGGATGAAACAGTAGCTGTCCAGTGCTCCCTGGTTTTCAATGGTTCTCTAATTGATATCAGTCGGTGATCAACTCGTAAAACAAGGGAGAAAAGTCTAAAAGAAAATATGTGGGGCTCGAATAACAGTCACAATGTGGTGAGAGTTGTCTGTTAGTTAGCCAAAATTGGGGTAGACAGCAATTTACACGTCAATGTTTACGTCCGAAATCTTGGTCATGAGAGAGAAAAAACACAATAACAAAGACTAACTCAACAACCAATCACAGAAGATTAAGCGTGGGCGGATACGATTCGCAGATATTATGGTCTGACCTTCAAATAGGTGACGGCAGAAATTTCAGCGAGAAAACAACCAATCAGAAGACGCTGTTTCTCTGCTAATAATAAAAATTATATATGTATATATATATGTTGATTTTCATAATAAACGATCTGTTGCCTGGCCCTTGTGTTCTGTCGTTACACTACTATTACTGTTTACAGTTAGAAATTATGTAGAGCTCTATGAATGTCCACTGAAAAACTGTATACTAAGTTATATCGGAATAAAATTCGTACAAAAATGAATGGATGTCAGATGATAAGGGATTCGTGTTTGTTGACACTGTCGTCAGTAAGATGAATCTGGAAGTGTGAAGGAATTGATGCCTCCTCTGAGATTTGAACCCACATCATTTAGAATTCCAATCAGAGATGTAACAATAGAGCAATTCGGCTTCACCATCGACTTCTTGTAGGACTATCCGGTGGGTAAATTCATTAGTCAAATGAGTTCCACGAAAACAACAGGTCTTCGATTAGTCAGAAAATGTGATAACCAGAGAATATTCCTGATGATTTCGTGCTACACATGTCAGACAGCTTAAACATGAATGTTACAACTAATCCACAGAAATATTAAACCAATTTTAGAGTAACAATTACAGAGAGAAATGAATCTGGTTACTTCATGCACAAAAGAGTTAATCACGAATTCATCCAGTAGTAATGCAGGAGACCACGTGTCACTGGTTTAACAGTCGAATACTCTACAGCCGTACGGAAGGCTTCGATTTCTGGCCTACATATACTCCTATTATATCATTATCGTTCCCTTGGATTCCTAGTGGAACATAGGGCTTCAACTACACGTCTCCACTTGCTTCTGGCTTCTGCTGTACTTTTCACCTGCATCCATGTTAGTCCATACTGTTTCAGCTCTTCTTCACACGATCTCCTCCATGTCACCCTTGGACGTCCCACTCGCCGCTTCCCTTTCAGGTTCCACTCGAGCAATGGCCTGACGCACGATGTCACCCAACGACCTCCTCAGCGAGTGTCCAATCCATCTCTACTTTCTCCTGCATATTTGTTTGTTTCCATAGTTTCTTTTTGGTAATTCTTTCTGGTGGCCATCTGATCTTCAGTATAGAGCCAGCGAAGACAGTTGTTGATAAAGGTCTGCAACAGGCTGTTGGAAATATTCTTTGTGACACACTGGCCAAGTTTCTGATCCATCCGTATAGAAGAACTGACTGACTTGACGTTTGTATTGAAAATCCGAATTTTCTTGTTGATACAGGCTGAGTGACGAAGATTTCCAGATTAGTTTCAGGTGGATGAATATGTTCCTCACCTTCCCGATTCTCCATTTGACATCCTCGTCCGTTCCTCCTGTAGTTGAGACAATACTCCCTAGATAAGTGATTGAAGTAACCTCTTTCCAATCCCTCCCGTTGATGGTGATTGGCACTGGATGTTGCTGATATTGCTGTTGCTGTTGGTTGGTTATTTTCATAACCTGTGTCTTGTCTATGTTCACCTGGAGTCCTGTCTTCACCGGCTGCTTCTTCGACCAGTTTGTCGGTTTTCGCTTGTAAGTCTTCGATTTTGTGTGACATCGAACATAAATCATCCACGCGCGAAATCCAGGTCTTCTAGATTCTTCACGTCAGTCCAGGATATCCCTGTCTTCTCGTTTCCATGCACTGTCTGACGCATAATCCAGTCCACCACAATTAGGAATATCATTGGTGATAATAAGCACCGTTGTCTGACTCCTGTGTTTACTCCAAACGCCTCGCTGAGTTTTCCGTTGTGGATTACTTGACATATGCCATTGTCGTACAGCTGTTGAATAAGGTTGATGAATATTTGGGGTACGCCGTAGTACTCGAGTAGTTTCCAAATTACTTCGCGGTCAACGCTGTCGGAGGCCTTCTCAAAGTCTATACTTCTAAGCCAGACCAAATTTACTACCCTTACACACCGTACTCATATAATGCGGAGGTTGACAGTTTCAGTCCCTATCGAGGGGACGGGTTTTGTACGTCGGTGGTGTTCAGTGGTGGTACACTGCCAGCATGTCATGCCACAGATCCGGGTCCAATTATCAGATGAGGCATTTTTGATAATCTCGCCCAGGTGAGAAAAGAGGGGAGGTCGTGTGTGTGAGGCTAACAATTTCACATCGTAAAAAGACAAACAAACAAACAAGAACTTAGAAAGTTGTATACATCTCGAAAAAAAATTTCAGGATAACTTACACGGTAGGCAGCTGCTTGAATACGAATTCGAGCTTGTAGATGAGCCAATTTATTATCGACAAATTCTTTCCGACGAATAGACTCTTGCTCTTCTTGTAGTCGATTAGTTCCCCATTTACCAGTTTTTGTACACCGCTGTACCTGTTATCGTCATGATAAGAATAATGATAATAATAATAATAATAAATATTGATAATAACAATAGTAATAATGGTGTGAAATAACTTACTTATTGTTTGAGATCAATCGTGAGACAAGATATGAAAAGGCCAGCTAGGATCATAACTGTCTCCGCTCTATCTCCCGTGTTAAGTGGTAGTATAATAGGGTGAGTAATATTGAGGTTAGGCATCGGACGCGGCTGCTAGGTAAGGAGGGAGGGGAAATCAGTCGACGACGCTGTGAAGCTACATCGACTGAGATGGTTAGGGCATGTGTCACGAATGCATCCCTAGGCATCACCTTTCTTGACAATGGGCAATGTCAGCTGAAATAGGATGAATCAAGTTGGAAAAGAGCCAGTGGTTGTGGTGGTTATCAAACAAAACATGGCTTCATCAGTCAATGAAATCCACAACAGTTAGTTTAAGCCAGCCAGTCACGTAGGGAGGATGTTGACTACCTGAATGGTTGATGTCCTTGAGATGGTAAGAACCAATGAAGGCTGACTGGAAACAATTGGTGATATGGCTCAAACTCATTGTTCTCAATGACTGGCGTTGTAGATGTATCCAGTCTTTGTGATTTGTCACATCCAATAAAATTCTACTGTTCTTCCATATTATTGCTGTTTTTTCCTCACACTTCTGTTTATTATCTATCTTTTGTTGAATCTCACTTTCCCCACTTCTCTTGTTTTGTATGGTACATGGAGGGAGTGTGGTAACTCGAACAGCTGCAATTCTGTGCAAAGTTCTACGTTGAAACCAGTTAGTCATTCAGTGAGATCAACTGTTCTGCAAACATATGAGAACTGTTCGTTATATCCTGCATTCATTTGATGATAGCCACTATCTATAGGTAGTTATTTCGTTTAAAAATACTGGAAGATTAGTAATAATAATATTTGTTATATTATACTATTATTATTTCCTTTAATTCCTAGAGGAGCATAGGGTTTCAGCTGCGCGTCTCCATTGCGTTCGGTCCTCTGCTAGAGTCTTCACCTGGCTCCAAGTCTGCCAACACGCTTTCATCTCCTCTTCACATGACCTCCTCCAAGTCACCCACGCACTGACGACCAACTCGCCGCTTCCCTTTCCAGAACTGGCGAGGATATCAAAGCAAGAATCGGAAAAGCAAGACAAGCTTTCATTACTCTCAAGTTCGTGTGGAGGTCAACAACACTCAGCATCAAAAATAACATCCGGATTTTCAACTCCAATGTGAAGTCAGTGCTACTATACGGATCAGAGACTTGCACTGCGCGTCATAAAGAGCATCTCAAGCAAACTACAGACCTTCATTAACAGTTGTCTTCGTTCAATACTCAAGATCAGATGGCCGGCCAGAAAAGATCAGCAACAGAGATCTCTGGCAATGAGCGAACCAACCAGGAACCGATTGTGAAACAAATATGCAGGATGAAATGAAGATGGATTGGCTGGCCACACTCTGAGGAAACCATCAAGTGACATCAGTAGACAAGCCCTCGCTCGAGTGGAACCCGAAAGGGAAGCGGTGGCGAGTTGGTCGTCAGTGCAAGGGTGACTTGGAGGAGGTCATGTGAAGAGGAGATGAAAACGTGTGGGTAGACTTGGAGCCAGGTGAAGACTCTAGCAGAGAACCGAATGCAATGGATGGAGACGTGCGCGGCTGAAGCCCTATGTTCCTGTAGGAATTAAAGGAAACAATAATAATAATAATACTGATAAATACAAAAGTAGCTGGATTCTGAAAAAAATGTTTACACAGTGTAAAGAATTCTGAGCGTAATCGATTGAGTAATATTCTCTCCTCATCCTCCAGGATCTCTCTTCAAGTAAAATAACAGTCTATCGTATATCACGTGACACAATGTTTTCACATCTCAAGTAATATGGACTACTAATCCCTAAGGATATTTTTCCTTTGTCTCCGTGAAACGCGCACTGATAGTTTGAAGAAAGCAAGTTTATAACCGGAATAGACATTGCGTCACACACTGACTGACTGGTTTCAACGTAGAACTTTGCACAGATTTGCAGCAGTCCCAGTTGCCACTCTCCATCCATATACCACACAAAGCAAGAGAAGAGAGTAAAGAGAGATTCAAAACACAAGAGATAATAAACAGAAATATGAGGCAAAGAGAATGGTAAAATGGAAGAATAACAAATTTTTATTGGAAATTATAAATCACACACGGAGTGAATGCATCTGCGCCAGTCATTGAGAACGATGAGTTTGAGCCATAGCACCAACACTCACAGGCTTTTATTGGTTCTTACCATTTCGAGTAGCCCAACCCAACTGGCATTCTACATCTCCCTACGTGTAGCTCAAATTAACTGTTATGGATTTCATTGACTGATGAAGCTATGTTTTCGTTTGACCACTACCACTAGCTCTTCTCCAACCTGATCGACACTATGTCAGTCAGCTAACATTGTCCGTCAAGAATGGCGATGATCAGGGCTAGGCATGCATGCGTAACACATGTCCTAACAATCTCAATCAATGTAACTTTACAACCTCGTCGATTGACTTCCCCTCCCTCCTTACCTAGCACTCGACCGATGCCTAACCTCAATATTAGTCACCCTATTATACCACTTCAGACGGGAAACAGAATGCAGACACCTATGATCAAAGACAGCTAGCTAGGCTTTTCACGTCTTCCACTTTCAATGGCCATGTATCACTGGCAGCCATGAAGGAGTACGGAGCGAACTGCTGAGCAGTACACACGTTCTTTGGTCGACAACCAGATATTTATTTTTATTTTTTTATTTTGATTTACAGCTTGATTCCACACCGTATTTTCAGTACAAGTATGGAATTTTCAGCATGGATATCGGTAGCCCAAATTCAGGCCGACCATAGATATCGGGTGCGCCGACAGGGCATCGAACTCCGGACCATGTGCATGGTAGGCGAGAGTCCTAACCACTGTGCCACCGACGCACAGATATCACGTCTACTAAGTCAGAGACGGTGTAAGTTGGCATATGCTAAACGAACTTTCTGTATCCTTAAGGAGATTTCGTCGGAGATCAACTTGTTGGGACTGAAGCAGTCAACACGCTCTACCACTTCGCTCACCCCCTATCTATCTTCAAATAAGGAGTCCATGTAGTCCAGTGCAGTTCTGTAGCATCATATTACATTTGACAGGAGCGAATTGCACACCAAACATTCGCAGATTGCTGCTCAATCTGTTCAGAAGACTCTGCATTCTGTCAGCATCTTCCCCTTGGAGGGAGGACTATATCATCTGCATATCCTAAGTCAACGAGATTATTCCCTGATGGTAACAAGTCAATCCCTATATCGCTGAAGTCGGCAGTTAGGGTTAAGTCGATTAGTACATCTATGATGAAATTAAACAGGAATGAGGACAGTGGTCAGCCCTGACGGACACCCCTGGTTTCCGACTATACATATTTGATGATGTTTCGATGCTGACTAACCTCTCTCTCTTCACTTAACTGTACTGTTTTTTTTAATACTTATACTCTATCCCACCTTATTGTGGGAATGCATTGCACTGGTCCAGCCTTTTTCCAGGCTATTTAACTTATCAGGGTCAACCAAACATTCTAGGTGTAGCTAAATTTCTATGTTCCAATATTCTGACTGACCCCGATCTACTAGTTTGACCTATGTGTAATTAACTTCATAGTCAGCAATACATGTTATCTGATAAATTAGATAATTTTTCTTAATTGGATCTAACAAGTCCTTAAGCCGATAAAATTTATCTCTGAGTAAGTTAGTTGGTTGGCTCGAAAAATGCTAACTCAATTCCAGCCTGATGACGATTAAGAATCTTGGGTGGGTAGAAAAAAGTCAAACCACTGCTATGCATGCACTCACACCTGATCAGGAAATAGGTCGGTCGGTCGGACGGTTTTCGACATAGAACATTGCACCGATGTGCGGCAGTTCAAGTCGCCACACTCCCTCCTTGTAGCACACAAACCAAGAGAAGAAAGTAGAAGAAATGCATATTAGAGACAGTAAACAGAGGTGTGAGACAAAGGAATAGTAATAACGGAGAACAAAACAGTTTAATTGGAAATCATAAGTCACAATGAGTGGATGCATCTGCGCCACTGAGAATGATTTTGAGCCATGTCACCAATTGTTTCCAACCATTGATTTTTACCGTCCCGAAGACCCCAACCAGTCAGGAAGTCTATACCTTCCTACGTGGCTTAGAATAACTGTTGTAGATTTCATTGACTGGTGCCATGTTTTTGTTTGACCACCGCTAGCTCTTTTCCAGCGTGACCCTCTATCAGCTAACATTGCCAGTCAGTCGAGGAAAGCGATGACTAGGCATACGTAGCACATGTCCTAACAATCTCAGTCGATGTAATTTCACAGTCTCGTCGACTGATTTCTTTACCTAGGAAATAGAGTATCATTTAGTTAGACTACTAGAAAGTAAGAACACTAGGTGGAGACAGAGAGGTTAGTTATCAAATCTTTGTTCACTGACTCGACACCAAACATGTACAATCGAGACGACGAAACACCACCTGTCGCAAATATGTGCAAAAAATTGCAGTACAGAAACAGGAAGAAGTGAATATTGATATGTTTACAGGATTTCATCATGACCTGACATCCGTTAGAGAACCATTGGAAAACCACCTGGGAGTGTTGCCAGACAGGTGATTCGTTCTAATTTCAGACTATTCGGCAGTAGGCACCCACCCCCAGGGTTCGAACCATGGAGCTTTCGGTGACAAGGCAAGGTAGTCGATCCAACGAGCTATGAACTCCAACTTCTGCCAATCCACGATATATCGGGACTTCCACCAGCCAATATCATCGCTGGTGAGTATTTGTCCTTACATCCGACTTGATGTATCTCACTGGTCACGACCTCTCGTTAGAACCTTACTTGGATAAGGTCAGTCGCTAGTGAGCATCAGAACAATATTCAAGTGTTGGCTTGCAGGAACCTGTTGCAGCTGGTCCCAGTGGCTTTGTAATCCGAATGTTCTGGGTTCGAACCACTATGGATGCATACTGTGAAAAGCGCCAAACTAAGACTGACAGCTGTCTAGTACTCCCAGGCAGGTTTACCAATGCTTCTCTAACCGATGTCAGTCAGCTCACGATGAAATCCTGTAAAGAAATCAAATCAGACCCTTGTAAACCAACACTTGATGAATAGATTGATATGATTATGGGCAGCAATAAATTGTACTCAAAACGTCATTACTATTATGATTACTGTGTGTCTGATAAAATAAATTCATTAAATATGGAACTATATCCTAAAACAGTGCTTTAGCTCTACTCTACATCGGTGGAAGGTTGAGGGTAGGGCGGCATGAAAGATGACATAGTCCTCTTAGGGGAGGATGCTGACAAAATGCACAGTCTTCTGAACACTTTGAACAGCAATCTTCGTATGTTTAGCATGCGATTCACCCCTGTAAAATGTAAGATGCTGCTACAGGACTGGACTACGTCAACTCCTAGCTTAGTGATAGGGAGTGAAGTGGTAGAACATGTTGACCACTTCATCTATTTGGGAAGTTGTATCAGCACCAAAGGACTGATTGGTGACGAAATCTCAGCACGGATCCAAAAAGCTCGAGCTGCTTTCGCTAACTTACACCATCTCTGGCGTAGGCGTGACATCCGGCTATCAACCAAGGGACGTGTGTACTGCTCAGCAGCTCGCTCCGTCCTTCTCTATGGCTGGCTCTGAAACGTGGCCAATACGAGTTGAAGACATGAAAAGGTTGACTGTTTTTGATCATAGATGTCTACGATCTCTTTCTCACGTTAGGTGGTATAATAAGGTAAGTAATGTTGACGTTAGGCGTAGAGTGTTGGGCAAAGAGGGAAAATCAATCGAAGAGGCTATAAAGTTACATAGATTGAGATGGCTAGGTCACGTGCTGCGCATGCCTAACCATCGCCTCCCCCGACCGACGGGCATTACTAGCTGATATAGGTGCAGGTTGGAAAAGAGTAAGTGGTGGCCAAACAAAAACATGGCCTCATCAATCCATGAAATCCTTGACAGTTAAACTGAGTCAGGTAGGGAGGGAGATGCAGACTTCCGGGTTGGGGCCCACCCTCGGGACTCTAAGAATCAATCAATGGCTGGAGACAATAGGTGACATGGCTCAAAATCGTTGTCAATGGCTTACGCAGATGTATTCAGTCTCTTGGGTAATCTTTCATATTCCTTTCTACCATTACTCATTCTGTTTCACTCTTATACTTGTCAAAACTCTATTGATTCTCTTCACTCATCTTCTCCTTGTCTACCTTTGTGTGCTATTTGGAACGTGGCAACTCGAACTGCTGCACTTCGGTGCCAAGTTCTATGTTGAATCCAGACAGACAGACAGACCGACAGACGGAATGATGCTAGCAACCCCACGACCTCATGAAATTCAAACACCACTGTAACTGAAACTTCAAAGGTGAAGCTTTAAGCTTTGTGCTTCACAAAGGAATGCAAAGGAACAAAAATAACAATAGATAGATAGGGAGGGGGGGGGGGGTAACAGAGTACAAACCTCAGCTATATACTGCTCTCGTTTCTCATTTTCATGCATTGCAGTTATATTAAAATCTTGATGTAATTGAGCATAATCTAATATGGAATTGAATATCGCCCTCAGCTGACCAAGTAATTGACGTGATTCTGCATCTAGTAGACATCGTGTAAAGACATTGGAGAGGAAAGCTTGATGAGCATTGACAACACCATCCAAGTCTTCAGCAGCATGGACTTGTTTCACAAGATTCTCCCAAGCACATTCTAGAACCTGAATAAAGGGAACGAAACAAAACAGAAAAATGAAAAACAAAAAAAGATAAATTGTAGTGTATTGATTGGTTCCCTTCACTAATAAATGAGTTGCACTCAACGGATGACACAGAATTTACAAGTAGAACAGTAGTCGAGTCTTTGGAATGCTACATGACTACTGCTGGTCACTGTGTAATGTAACGTAAGTATAAAGTAAGTCAAGTCAACAGTAGTTACCTACATGCATAAATGAAAATGAGATGTGAAAACAGCAAACCTTTAATGAAGAGAATAGCGATTAATTTAAATGAAGAGAGAACTATAGTTTTTTGCAGAATAAAGTGGTACCATCATTGTTGACGATTTCGTTGCCTTCTCATCAGCTGCTTACAGGCCACAGTCATTATTAAGTATATCTACAGAAACAATTTTAACATACTTGCACAGAGTTCATTTTAAACAAAAATCAATCAATCAATATATGCACACAGTAATAATATGTATATATATGTAATATTAAACACTATTCCGAACAATAATAATCATACACAATGGAAATTTTTCAGCATTACGAATTCAGATGAAAGGGAGATGAAAATATCCAGTTACCAGACAGAGCAAAGGAACACTGATAACTGTTTCTTTCTGAATGCATGAATCAGGTGTCAGGCGCTTTAATGGAGATTGCTTCCGCGAACTTGAGGAGAATTGAAATCTCTTGCCTATTGATAATTTTGAACGACTTTTCAACGTCCATCTCATGACCCGCGTCAAGGAGATACCTAGTGATGGCAGCGTTTAAAGCACTTGTTTCCTTTAGACATAAGCTTTTTGGTTCATGTTCAGAAAATCGTAGATATGCCCTTCTTTCCACTGTAACTGCTCCCACAGATACATGTAAATTTGTATATACAGTTGGAGTTAACATGAGAAGGATATCTATCGATTTTTGATTGCACAAAAGAGCAAGTTGTTTGATAGACGGGAACCAACTTAACTAGCTGCAGGATAGGCTCTGACTAGAAGTGACGTACTCAATCTCCTCTCAACTACTGCGGCAATATTTTCACCTTTAAAATTGAGTTGGATGAAGACAGACTTTTTTCCCACTGTGAAGTGTTTGATGTTTGATGAACACGATAGTAGAAGCCGTCAATCTAGTCTCCTGTGTATGAATGCACAACTAGTCACATAGAAGGAACCCGATCCCGATCAATTTAGACGAGTAACATGATTAGGCGATGAATATTCACATTGATCATAAGTATTTGCGTTCTGTCTACCACCGTATTAATTGGTATAATAATAATAATGGTGAGTAATTTTGAGAGTAGGCATACAGTGTTAGGTAAGGAGGGTAAGTCAACTAACTAACTGATGAGATGATTGTGAGGCTACATCGATCGAAATGGCAATGGTTAGGATACGTGTTTCGCATGCTAAACCATTGCCTTCCACGACATGCAATGTTAGCTAACATAGAATTAATATATGTGTAAAACTTGGGCACTGTGGTAGTAAGTAATTCCATGTTAGTTTGTTTATTAGATATATCACACAGTCAGTGAAACAGTATTATTATTTACTGGATGACACAGTTTCGAACAAAATTTATTTTCGAACACATCAACTCGAAGGTTGAAGTAATTCATTTCACTTATGAATTGGAAAATCAGGAAGGGGAGCTGCCAATGTTAGATTACAACGTAAAAAGGAAAGAAGATGGGAAGTTAAACATACTAGTGTTTACAGGAAATTCACACATTCAAACAGATATTTGAACTTCCGATCATCCCATCCTATGTCAGTGAAAATAGGATTGGTGAAATGTTGAAGTAATTGAGCACAAAAACTAAGTAGTACCAAAGAAAATCTAAGACAGGAACTGATACACATAAAAGAAGCCTTGAAACTCAATAATTACCCGGATAAACTAGCTAGGAAATATGTAAGGAAATGTAAAAATAAAATAAATAGTGATAATAATAATAATGACGACACCAACAATAAGGAATCTAAATCATCAGTAATTATTCCACACAAGTAAGGAAACTCGGAAGCCTTACACAGAATTCTTAACAAGGCAGGCAGGAATAAAAGAAACTGGCATTCAAACCACCCACAAACTCAATTAGAAACAAGCTTTGTCGGTTAAAGGATCCGGCCAGTGGAGCCTTTAAAACAAAACAATTTAGTTTATCTAATACCCTGCTGCTGCAATGATTGTCAGGTCAAATACATAGGTCAAAGTAGTAGAACAGGGGCAGTCAAACTAGCCGAGCATAAAAACCTAGCAGCGAAATCTAGATTAGTTGATCCAAATAAGATAAGAATTGCAGAGTATAGTTCGTCTATAGCACTCACTACCTGCAATTACACACAACCATACAAAAGGATGGGATAGGATGACAGTTTCAAAATCTAATGTAACAGGGTGGAGGGAGAGATTGATAACAGAAGCTTTGTTTATCGAATCAACTGAGAGTGAATACGTGTAATAGGAATGATTCAACACCTGTCCAGCCAGATATCTGGAAAATTCTACTACCCCCACGACAAATAGGAGAGAACAAAGAAAACTATAAAACTCAGGTTTCGAAGTCATGTGATTACAATTGATGAAATGATTATGAACAATGAATAAATTTTGTTCGAAACGTCATCCAGTAAATAATACTGTTTCACTCACTGTGTGTGATATATCTTATAAACAAACTAATATGGAACATAGGATTAAGTTTGAAAAGAGTTAGGGGTGGTCAAATCAAAACTTGGCATTAGTCGATGAAGTATTTGACTGTTGGTTTGAGCTAGCCACGTAAGTGGAGGGTGGGGGGAGACTGAGTGGCTAGAGTCTTCGTGATGGATGCTAAGATCCAATGGCTGGAGACTATTGGCGACATGGATCAATAGAGAGAGTAGGCACATTTAGTCTTTGTGACCTCCAATTTCCAATAAACCTTCATGCTTTTCTTTGTTACTATTCTTTCCATTGAAACATTTCTCCTCATTGTAGTGTTTTTGTTTTGATATTCTGATCGCA